TAAACTGTGATGCAAATTCATATGGGGGGGGGGGGATGGCATGATTTTAAAGAATTTTTCTTGGGGAAGCAATCCTTAAAGACCCCTGCTATAGAAGGGAAAAAAGCCCTGGATGGACTCCAAGAGTGGTTGCAAATTTTGGAGTAAAAAAAATTGCTTCCAGGTTGTATGTTCTTTTCTTTTATGAGCACATGTATGATGAACCAATGTATCTTGATAGGAACTGCCGTCATAGTTTACGGTGCTGATAAATGCATTCTGATGTGTGCTGTCTGATATATATTTGATAAAATTGATCATCCTCAAGATTGATAAATAGGAGAAAAATTAGTTGGTATGATTCATTAGTCTTCTTGCCTTAAAGTAGCAATAATGCTTGTTTGTGAGACCATGCTGTAAGTGAAAAACATTACAAATTAAATTTTGTACTCTGTATTACCCTGGCACTTACATTATGTGGGAATCGGCATAATTACGATAGCAAGTCAAACTTTAATTCTACCTTCTTTTTTACGGCCCATTGTGGCAGAGGGGTTGCCTTTTAGGGTTGAAGCATCTTAATTGCAGTTATTGTTTATCCCTGCATGATTTTAAGAGTCTATTTAATGGGTTTGAATTACTGGAGTCTGCATTTTGTACCTCAAGTAGGTGGTTTTGACCGCTGGTGTTGCTTTATATTTGCCAAAATCATCTTTCCTGTTTTCAGCTCCACATGACCTTTAGAAACTGTGTAAGGTTGCTGATAAACTGAACAAAACAAACTATCCTCACAGTGCATTTCTTTATTGACTCAAGATACTTAACGTTTTAAGGAGTTTAGAGTCTTAGCCTGATGGTTCCAGATAATGAAGGCTTATAAGCAACTTCAATTCTTGTATAACTATAAGTGTAACCGTTGTTTGTTTTCAATAAATTTTAATCACAAATTGCACGCATGATGAACCAATGTATCTTGATAGGAACTGCCGTCATAGTTAACGGTGCTGATAAACTCATTCTGAAGTGTGATTTGTGATATGTTTGACTTTCTAAAGCATAAACATTAAGTTGTCAAGGTCTTTGTTAAGACACTTTTTGTTACTTAAATTTAATTTATTTTAATTGATGTGTGGTGTTTCATTTGGCAAAGAAGTGGCCATATCACCTTAATAGTGTTAATAGATAGGATTGTGGCTTGAAAGATCAAACATAAAAAATAAGTTCATACTTTATAAGCACATAAAAAAAATAGTAATTAGTATGTGTTTTATATTTGGAAGAATCTTTTTGGTTAACATTTAAATTCCCCTTGTGGCTGAATGGTTGCCTGTAAGAGTAAAGGCGCCAGAATTGCAGCCACCATTTATCCCTGTGTGATCAGAAGAGGTGACGTAATGAAATGGGTTTGAATGACTGGTGTCCATGCATCTCTTAGCTCCAGCAGTTGAGGTAGTTTAGACCCCTAATGTTAAGTTTGCAACAATGCAGGTTAACCAAAGTCATATTTCCTGTTTCAGCGCCATATGACCTAAAATGTGTTGGTGCGCTGTAAAACCAAACAAACCAAACTAACATTTACATCATTGCTTTTTATATTTCAGAGAAATCGTTTGGTTAATATCGAGTTTGGCAAGCTGAGAAAAGCAGCAAAGAAGTCTGGCGGCAAAAAGAAATAAACTGTACATTTTCCTAATAAAATATGTCGTCTCCAAGAGACTCTTGTCTTCTCTTTGATAAGCTCCAACAGTATTGAAGTGGTTTGTCTTGTGTCTTACATCAAACGTTCAGGAAATTAATCATGTTATACTGTAATAAAGTGCTTGATAAAAGATGGCTTGAAAGTTATAGAGATATTTTTAGCTCACCAGAGCATAAAGTTATCATGGTGAGCTATTGCGATACCTTTGTGTCATGGGTCACTTATTAACATTTTAAACACTTGGCCAATACTGAATAGTGATGAAACTATTCAAGAAAAATTCTTGGTTTGTCCTCTATTAAAAATTAAAAAGGTACTGGTTAGATAAACATAGCCTCCAAAGCTAAAAATAGAAATCAATTTGAACATCATCTTAACCACTTGTTGGACTGATGAAACAAACTGTGCAGCAATGACCATTAGAAAGCCGATTTCAAAAATGGTTCTGTTGAGTAATATGAATCAAAGTGTGTTTTGAATGCCAACTACTGGATGACTGTCCCAGTAATGATGAACCTTTACAGGATAAAATGCTTCAAAACATAAGGTTGTCCTTTACTGTAACTGCTGAAATTGTTTGGTCCAAAGAAGCTGCTGCTTGAGCTAAAATTAGAAAAGAAAAGAAGTTTTAAACAATATCTGTACAACTTGACAGATTTTGATGAAAGGTAGACCTTTACAAAATTGCTCAAATACAAGCTTTCAGATTACCGCAAGATCATAGGAAAAAGTGACCGCTTTAGGTTCTCAATGACCGCTAGTGACCTACCTCTGGCTCAAAATTCATATCTGCTAATACTCTATGGAAATTGAGTGAAGCTAAAATATCAGCACTTCGTGTTGCAAATTTTACCTTTTAAGGACATGACTGGTAACATATCCAGGGAGCTGGACTACTGAATACATTCTTACCTGTTCGATTTTGATGAAACCGTACAGTATTGGTCAATGGGTAGTTCTTCGCAAAAATTGTTCCTGAAATTAAATCGTGTCTATGTAGAACATGCAATGTACACGTATCTGACGAACCATTTAAAGCATTGTCGGATGTCTGTGCGTTTCTTTTAAACCGCTCAACTAATTTTAATGAAATTGTACGTGAATAAGCATATCATTAGGAATCTGACCTTGGCCCATAAATGACATTGAACTTCAAAGGCTAATTGCTGAAATTAGCTGTTACTATGTTATTATAAATGGATGTATTTATACTTTGAGGTAACAACTTTTAACTACCTCTTCGGGTAAGCATTTCATAAAATTGGCAAAATTTTTATCATTAATGAATGGATTTGGGCATAACACTTTGAAAAAAAAACTTTCATGTGGCAAATTAAAGTATGACATTGACCTATAATTTTCCATGAAGGCAAAGACAAATATGAAAATGCATTTGAATTCTGTAAAACTTTTATAATAATTCAGGTAATCTACTTGCACCCAGTGACATGTTGGACAACATCATCATACTGCCGGAAGTGAATATTAAATAAAACTTTAAATGATCTTTAAGGCAACTCGCCCAAAAATGGTAATTTGATTAAAAAAAAAATATGAAATTTTAAGTAATTAGATCTAATTAAATTAAATACTGGTCTAGCTGGATTAAATGCGTAAATCCGTGATTTCAAGAGAGTTGACAAAAGCGTCAGTAAAACGATAATCATTTTTTGCATATCAACGCAGTAGCGTGTTTGTAGTCTATGCTTAATGAGGGTCCATCCGCCAGTAAGGGCACAAAATGCAGCTTTCGCTGTCGGACCCGGACATGTCACCTGTCATGCCCTTAAAGAATTTACCTCTATGCAATTTCCACGGAGTATTTGCCAAAGATTTGAATTTTGAGCCAAACGTAGGTCACTGTACGGCGGTCAATGAGAACCTAAATGTACAGTAGCTTGAGACAATAAGGAAAGGGGGTAGCCCATAAAATGTCTGGCAAAAGGCCTGTCGTGTGCTAAGGGCTCACGCACCCTAGCATACCATCCTCGCCGACTCAGCCTACTTTGTAGGGCCACTCTCCTCGGCATTAGTCAGGACCTCGGCAGCTGGCCCGAAGTACAAGTTCTGGGGGCCGTTTTATCAACGTGTCGTAGTCTACGACAATTTTTTGTCGGTGTCGTACGTCTGCGACATTTTCTACGACGTCGTAGGCTACGACAAACGTTAATAAAACGGTTTTAACGTTCTGCGACATGTCTGCGACAAAAAACTAGCCTACGACATGTCGTAGAGCGTTGATAAAACGGCCCCCTGATCTTTTGCGCCATCCCAAGTCTTCAAATCTTCTGCCGATGCCCTGTGCCGTCTCAGCGACGACCACGCGCCGATGGGGAAGTGAGAAGAAACGCAGTAGTCAATAGAAAAGCCTATTTATATTCAGCATGATCACGTGTCGAAACAGTGGTTGAGAAAAAAATCACTGGATCCGGGATCTAATTTAATGTTGGAAACTATATAGGCTGATACAGCTCTAATCATATAAAATTTCAAACTTTAAAAGTCGAAATCGACATACAATGTATGGTTTAACTGATTAATTACACAGACACTTGGGGTTTGGAGCTCAAAACGCCTTTAAAATCCAAATAAAATGCATATTTGTCAATCCCAGCACATGTACTGATCATATATATATATAAAAAAACTTAATATAATTAAGCCGTTTTGAAAAAATTTCATATTTCAACATCTATAGTATTATTATAGATGTTGAAATATGAAATTTTTTCAAAACGGCTTATATTAAGTTTTTTTGATATATAATTATGATCAGTACATGTGCTGGGATTGACAAATATGCATTTTATTTGGATTTTAAAGGCGTTTTGAGCTCCAAACCCCAAGTGTCTGTGTATACGCGTTTACCAGTTTTTCACCATTCACACTTTCATTATATCATATTATTATCAAAATTTTATTTCTTTTTTGTTATTATTATTGTTTTCGAATTCTGTTTTGAAGTATCAGTATTAACAGTATAATTTATATATTTAGTACTTTTTAGAATTGCGCAGGGGACCAGCCTATACAGGACTGCATGGTTTCCTAATGGTTTCTAAAAATAGAATTATTGATACAGGTCATGAATCATAATTATGATTAAAACACCTAACTTATCAACATTTTACTATCTTATTGTTGATAATTAATATATTAAGCTTATATGTTATTGTATACTATAAAGCAATATGTTATTATCCACCTTTATATTTACAATAAAAGTTATTTGCACATTCTTTTTCTAAATAAATGTGAACTAAGGAATTCCCAAAGGCTATAAATAGATTGAGACGCACTTGATGATCTTGATGATATGTTAGCGTTTAAAAGGTATCTCGATACTAAATGTATTTCAAATGCAATACTGGCACGACTAAATGTGTTTGAAATTATAAAAATAAATATATTTGTTTAAGTATCTTCTTATTAGTATTGTTTTTTTTTTTTGCAACATTATAGAATAATTTTGATTTGGAGTTTTATAGAGGTAAGAATTCATATTTTTTATGTATTTTAAAGAAATGTACATTTTTTTTTCGATATATATATTATTTACTGTGATACCACTGGATAAGCAAGTGCTGGACATTCATATTTATAACCAATAGTAAATATACTTCACATCGGCATTTCTGTAGATATATGTACACTTATATACGAGTACAAATGTAAAATTTAATATGTTCACAAATTTAGAATAAAAAGTTACATAAATAAATAGACCTATATATCGTGTATTTACAACAAAACTCGAACTTATAACCATATATTTAAAAAAAAAAAAACACTTGCCCCTCACCGCCGTGTGTTCGAATCCCGACAGGGACTTTGGATTCTTTCATGTGAAAAAGAATGAGAATCACCTATATTTTATCTTGATATAATAAATCTTGAATATGAATATACATGTTGTATGTTTTCTTTTTCTTTCCGTACAGTACATACACATGGCTGGTGTTTTGTCTAAACTTGATAAAAATTTCAACAAATATCGGAAATCATATTTGGAGGAAACCATGGAGACAAACAAACTGTCGAATTTGTCCGAAACAGGGTTCTCTGCTAAAACTGACTGTAACCAACATCTATCTGATGTCAAAACCGCTGATGTAAAGGCTGAGAACAACAATACTTCCGGTTGTCGTCTAAGAAACCGCACGAAAAAGGTAAGAAAAAATACGAAAAGAAACATGGCCGACTCTAACGACGTTACAACGGAAAGAAATGTACCTGATAGAGATGTAAGTAATGCTAATGATGACGCGGCGGAAAGAAATACCTCTGATGGAATTTTAACGAATACTGATGGTCTAAGACCAGAGAGAACTAGTTTAAACACAGACCAAACTGATTCAGTTGATACAAGAACAGATGGTCAAAGTGAATCTAATAGAAACCGAGAAATTACTGAGAACAACTCGAGACAAGGTGCTAATGGGACAGCTCAAAGCAAGGAATCGTTCAGTGATAGGTTAGGAATTGTAATATTCAATCCAAAATATAGGCAATATGCGACTCAAGAATCAAGGTTAAAATCTTACAAAAATTGGCCGAAAGATAAGAAAGTCAACGTAAGTACATTAGTAGATGCTGGTTTTGCATATACCGGGGTAGGAGACTCTGTACGATGCTTTTATTGTGGAGGGGCCTTCAAAGACTGGTCCGATGACTCTGATCCCTGGAAGGAACATGCTTTATATTTTCCACACTGTGGGCATATTCGTCAATGTAAAGGTGTTGCGTACATTAAGCACATTTGCGGTGAAGGTGATAGTGACTATGAAATTGATGGTGATGATGACGATGTGCTAATAGACAGAGTGAAACTTGTCATGAAACGTAATGAAACTGCTGTCATGGCTGCAAGGGACTTTTGTGCAGACGAAAGCCTTCTTAGAGATGGAGTTAAAAGAATACTTAAAGAAAATAAAGAAACATTTTCTGGCGTAGATCTCATTAACGCGACAGAGGAGATAAAAGACGAGCGACGACAAAAAATAACCGAACTTACGGAGACAGCTTGTCTAGAAAATGATTCATCGGACGAGTCAGAAGCAGAGGTCAATAGAATGGAACTACTGGAAGAAAATAGAAAACTAAAAGATCCTGTCTTATGTAAGATATGTCTTGATAAGATTGCCACAATTATAACATTACCTTGTGGTCATATGTCCAGTTGTTCTCAATGTATTTCGGCTTTGTCTACATGCGCTATATGTAGAGCTCGGATAAAAGGGACTGTTCGGGCTTTAATGGTTGTTTAAATTAATAAAGCAGAATTGTTCGTATTATAATTCTACGGTTAACAAGTTGACAACCTGCAGGCATTGCTTACAATTTATATAGTTTTATAACGACAAGAAAGTTTATTTATGACAGTCGCTATAATTATGCGCTTACTACATCAGTCTGAATTTTGAACTATACATATGTGTTATGAAAGTCCATACATAGTGGCTTATTATAGAATGGTACTGACATTACACACACACACACATGGTATACCATTACTGTGCTAAATTTGTGAAAAGGATTGTTTTAAACTTTTTTCTATAATATAATCATATAATTCATATAATTTCTACATTATTGGGTTGGGACCGAGCAGTATTACATAAAACCTATATATAGTCAGTTCAATGTGGTTTTCTAAAAAAAAAAATGGTGTTCAAAAACTGTAGCTTTAAAAATGTCAAATTTATTTTAGAAATTACCGAAGAAAGGCGTTTTTTACGTTAAATCATGTGACAATATACTCATAAATGACTTATAAATGTATATCGCGTGGAAAGTAAATATAGAAATATCATATTACCAACAAAACAAAATTTTCGGATTCCCATATTCTCTAAAAATAGAGACCCATCTTATCGTGACTCATTTTAAAGACGCGTGATTATGTAATGTTCAGGTTCTAAATTATAAAATAAATATATTGAATTATTAAGGAAATTGCCTGTTTATCCTTGCAGGATAATTGCATTTTTGTCTATGGCGGTTGTTTTGCTTGTGTTCATTTTAGGTTGCGATTTGTGCCGGGCATTATTATTTCTCTTTTTTTTCTTCATATTATTTTTCTTGTATATTTATTAGTATATTAGAATTAATTTAAAGAGTTGTTTCAATATAAAATTTGTCTATGTATTTTCTGTTCTGTTCTGTTTTATACACAATGCTAAGCCTGTAACTTTATTCCATTTGTGTGTATATGTATAATCTATATGGCACTGATAAATTCTTGGCTGGAAGGACGGTCATTATACATGTATGATTTATGTAAAAGGGATAACTTATTTGAATTATATATAGGAAAATATGGAAAAAAGTTGTTACATGTAGTTGGGGAAAAGCAACTTTGTATTTTTTTGTATTATTTTTGTTTGTTCCGCGTCTGTTTTGTTCTTCGTTGTTTTTCCTCTTTATATCATTATTCTTAATTATAACATTACTATCATTCTTTATTAATCTTATTGATCACTTTAAGTATTTTAATTTTAGTTGAATTTGCTGCACCCCTGTTAATTAGCTTAATTAGTATATATGTAAATGATAATGCAAAAATGTTTAATGTTTGCGAAAAAGAAATAAATTTTATATTAAACATCATTTGTTTATTTAATATGCAACTGATTATAACGAACAGAATTGTTAAATACACTTCAATTAAAAGCAATCAAACTAGAGATGACTTAAAATGGGCCACTTCAAAATTTAAGACTACAGCTAGCGGGTTGGGTCTAATTCCGTACCGGTGTGTTACTGAGTAACCACTGTTCCAAGTGTAGTTACTTACTATATCCGGAACATATTATACTCACAAATACTTTCTGGTTATAAAATGAATTATACACGAGTTTTAACCGGTTTTCAGCGTGCTCTGTCGATATAAGGGTACATTCACAATGCTTAGACTGGTTTCTTTCCGGGTTAATAATCAGCAGGAGTTTGGTGATCGAACACGCGAACCCTTGATTTGTATCATATTACACTAGCTGTCCCGTAACTTATTTTCGTATTTTTCAACTACTTAATGCAGCAGTTAGCTTGATTTTAAGAAGCTATATATCTACTGCAAAATTATTGTTTGAATGAAAAGAAGAGTATTTTTCCCTAAATGCTTGTATGAATAAGATATGGAATAGTATATTGTCCTAAAAGCAAACGGTGCTGCGCATGCACGAAATCATTGCTAAACGGTTAATGGTGGTGTTGGTAGTTTAACCCCGGATCACGACAGTAAGCCTCGTTAAATTTACCAGAGCCAATTCATCCACGACGGTTTATAGTTAAAACACTATACTTAAATAGCAACATAATAATTTGTTCGGGAACATTTTATGCTTTTTACGTAAAATATTCATAAATGTTAGATAACAATGACATTCTTTGGCAAAACTTTTTCGAGAATCGAACATAAAACTATGAAAACAATAATTTTTTCTTGATATATTTTAAAAATAAAATATTTCTAAATTATAAAAAAATAATTTTTATATTTTTATAAATTTTTAATGGGGAATAATAAAAAATGGTTATTCTTCATAAAAAAATTGAGTTTTTGAAAAAAATAA